ACCACTTCGGGCCTATGCCAACTTTTGGGGGTACCCTATTTTTTGGCCCAAAAGCCCAAGTAGGCGTGCCGGCCTTTTCTGTGCGCCCCCTTTGTGGCTCGTTGTTTTTTTTGGCGGGGAACCCCCGTGGTTTTGAAGGACACGGAGAGTCGCCGCTTTTGGGGCGGACCGCAAAAGAAAACCAAGAGGTGCGGCACCTGAACCGGGCGGAGCTAGTGGACTGGCTGCATGAGGCGGACGCCGCTCTCTGAAAAGGGGGTGTAAGGGACATGTATTGGAGTGGAATAGGGCGAAAACCACCAAGCACAATGGTTTTTGTTGAATCAAAGGATTCTCACGCGTCTTTTGAAACGAAGGAGTGAGATATATTCTAGTTTAACAAAATGAGTTTGGCGGCGGCTCACTTGTTTGAAGCTCAGCAAAAGAGAGCCGGTGATCGAAGGTTTTGGTACATACCAAAAAACAAACTACCAGCGCCAAGCCAGAGTGTTCATGGCGTTGTTAAGTGCTTACAATGATCTTGACACAGATGGGTGTGTCTTTTTAAACCTGTGTGCACGACTTGAAGAGGGTGAACGTGGGGTCCCCCGCGAATCATGCACCGAAGCTACTACTACTACTACCACGTACTAATAGATATAATAGTTGGATTTATATTAATATATATGTATATAGTCGGGCCTTTAGTGAGCATGCCGAATAAAACACATTTATTTAAGAATTCCATATGACCTTTTGCGATCGATATAACAATGCAAATATTGTATCCGAGTTGTGTCTTTGTCGTGTTTTGGTTATATATTGAGTTGGTTCACCGTAAATTATTAAATTGATGTATATATCCGGATCTGTTGAAGTCCGGATAATTTCATGCAGAAGGGTAGAATGGACGAGGACCTTATATAAATCTTATATTATAATAATATGAGATATGAAGTAATACAATCGAACATTTATATGGCTAGGCGTTTTAGGTTTCTATTGAATGTATACGAATATGCCGGAAAGAATTCTAGTAACGAGTTAAAGTGTTGGAAATTCGTAACAAGTGGTGCCGCGAGATTGGTAGTTCTAGCGTGGATTGTATAAGTAGATGTTATAAATCCGAGCGCGATAGTTTTAGCAGGCACGATATTTGATGATATGGTAAATCGGTTTATGATTAAATATATTGAAATCGTAGGAATATATCTCGTCGTAATATATATATTTTATTTCTTAATACACCCCGAAAAACCCAATATAAGCCTAGGATAAGTCCTTAATAAGTTTGTTTTTTAATTGGCTAAGGTCATAGTTCGCCGGAATGGTTTTCGCTATTGGGCAAGTTTGCTTATAGCTCCACCGACGTTTTCCATACTTAATGCGGATTTTTGTAAAGGCTCAAATTTTCTGAAAAAAATTGATGGAATATCGTATGAATCGTGCTCTTAGGGGCCAAAGTCTAGGTTGTGGCAGGTATACCAAGAACAAAATAAAATTTGTGGAGCCCATGTCGGTAAGATATTTTTTGCAACTCAGGCATTAATATATATTTTATTATATATATTAAAAAACATATAGTTTTCTCATGCGAAATGTATATTGTTCTCTAAAGACAGGTCGCGAGATACACTGAGGGTCGGGCCAGTCGTTCTTAGATGCACGGACGGCCCGATAAGGTTATATCAAAGACACAGAGACATAATATATACATTCATCGGAAAATACGCAATATAATCTCAAGACTAGTGCCACATTGGTGCAAGGCAAGGTCGAAATACAAATAAGCATATACAAAATATAAATTATTATGGCTAATACCCAGAAATACAAAGCGTTAGACTATCGAAAAACACGTAAGGTTCCCATATCCCTGTCCCATATCTTGGGCAATGCATATTTGATTGTCTCTGGTTACCATTCCTGAGAGTATATAATTCCGTTATAATACCGTTACAAGCCTCGCAGCTTCGAGCGATAACCAAAATGAGCCTTAAGCCTTTGCCTTGGACCCTGCCCGGGCAAAATACTTCGAAAGATTGTATTCTATATTGAGCTGGAGACCCAAATATCTCAAGGTGAATTATAGATGGAACTTCTCCGCAATATCTCAGTGTATTTCCTAAAGCATTACGATGCACAAAGCAAAGGTGTGCCTCAAGCGCCCGATACTAGCGTGTAGACACATAGTTAGTGAAAGGTAGTCGCCTGAACAAGGTGAGAACGGATCCGAGCGCTATTGACTTGATTCTTTATTTGGAAGACACAACGGCTTCGTTCAAAGCCCGGACCATTTTCCATTATCCCGGATATTTCGATAATTGCATTCTAGCCTCTCTTTTTTTTCGAAATATTCCAAATATTTAGCGATAGTATTTTCCGTATTTTTAGAATATTTCGGGAAAACGATTTCCGAAATATTCGGAATATTTCGAGAAAATGGCGGGTGGCTGCGATTTGCCCGAAATATTTAGAATGATTCGGGAAATTCTTTCTTATAACAAATGAAGTCATTGCATCTTCCGGATTATAGCCGGGGTAGCCCGGGCAGATTTGGGTAAACGGTCCGTAAGAAATATGAAGCGGTTGTATCTTCCAGGGGCAGTCCGGACCAATTTTCCGAAATATCCGGGATTTTTAGGAAAAGCGGGCCGGAAAAATGTACGCAAATACGACGAATAAATTTCACATTTTTATTTTATAGATAATATAAAGAAATATTGTTTATATCATTAAGAATATAATAGCCAATCCTAGAAGGTCAATTTGAGGATTTTGAGCTCGGGGTCCTTCAAAGCTGGAGGACATTTGTCCTTTAAAGCTGGAGGAGAGTTTTCGCTTTAAAATGGACCCTCTGGTGGGTTCCATGCTAGTGGTCAGGAGGGTGTACAAACCTCTCCGTGTGTGTGTGTGTGTACATTTGTATCTACGTTATATAACCGGAAATCGATTCACAAATCGTCATGATTTCGGTTCTAGAGACCAGCATCACAAAAAGAAAGTTGTCCCGTGGCTGGGGTAAAACGTTGGCTATCGCACAGTGAAGGCTGGCAACAAATCATAGGAGAATCACCATTAAATTCCAGGATAAAAAAACAAACACATTTAAAAACAAATATAAACAATGGAAATGCCATACACCAATATTCGAAAAAAGAGACTCAATATTAAAAGGAGATTTAATATTCGAGATTTAAAAAGGCATAATATTTACGGTAAAGATATAACATTTTATTTTTAGAAGGTTATACCATAAATAAGCTAATATAACCCATATAAGAAATTGAATAAAATAATAATACCATCAACAATTAATATTACAATAACACCACACACCATCAAAGATATAATTGGATATGAACTTCCACATCCTTCAGAAATATATCCTAGAGAAGATTATTGGTATAGAGCAGGCCCATAATAGACAAATATATTTATTGAGCCATACACAACACTAGATAAATAACAATTAGATATACATTACAAATAATAGGAGGTAAGTATAATATAAAATTGGTGAAATATAAATGAATAATATAATCAGAAAAGATATTAGAACAGGCTTAGATAGGCTAAACAAAATTCGAAAAATATCTGGAATTTCCAAGATAATTTAAATTAAATAATAAAGAATAATAACAAAATAAATAAAAAAAAACATAATACAAACACCCAAATAATCAATACTACAAGAGATCCGAGAATAGTATATTATAATTTCCGTACAAGAATTAATATCCAATATATATATATATATATATAAACAAGAAAAAAAAATCAATAATATAATTTAATTTCGTCTATATCAAAGATATTAATACCAAAAACATATATCCAATCCTCATAGAAAGCAAAATCCAATCTAGAATAATTATGACAATATAGCTTATCAATAACAATTATACAATCAACTAATTACAATAATTCTTTATTACATAATAAAAAACAAAAACATAAAACAAAAATATATAATCAAAATACTAATCATATTCATCATATCAATGGCAAACAAGACTAACAACATCATCATAAAGAATTAAAGAATATATAATTCATAATCATAAAATAGAATAAAATGAATATATATATATATAATATTATTTATTCAAATCATAAATTTACAATAAACACATTTTAATAAAATATATATTTATTCTTTAAATAATAATCTTAAATATATATATATAGTCCATAACAATAAATATATAAATTATTTCACCACATAAAATAAAGAACAAGACACATTATTTTGCGAATTTGGTAGGATAATCTAATATATAATTCCAACAATATAACAATTTCCAAAATTAGAGCCAAGCTTCTATAACGGAATCTAATTTAACAAACATAACAACACACCTTATCGGGATTTATAATAAGATTATTAAAATAATAATAATTAGAAATAAATAATAATTTACAAATACAAATAACAATTATTTAAATTATATATATATAAATCTATAAATAATAATATCATTATTACCTATATCAATTCTTATCATATCAATAACAATATCAACAATAATCAAAATATTGATATTATAAAAAAATATTTTAATAATTAAAAAAACAATCAATAATTTACCACAAGTATTCACCAGACATAATTCCCATTTATTTTCTATATTATTATATGTTAATTATTTTCGATTTTCAATATTTTTTTATATCAATATAATTTAAACGAATATAAATAAAATCTTAAAATCAATTATATATAAAACCGTACAATCAAAATAAATATATAAATATCAATATTATAAAATAATAAATATTAATATATATATATATATATTTATTTATTTTTTAAAATATTTTATATTAATATTAATATAATATTATATCTCAAATTTATATATTGTATATAATCAATTTATATTATAATCATCTTATAATATAAATTATATATGTTATATTTCGTATAATTTGGTATATGGATTTGAATTATTTTCAACAAATATAATATGATTGTGTTATTCGGAATGGTCAATCTGTTTTTTTCTCTTTTTTTTCTTGCATATATCCTGATCTATGATCAGTGGATTTCTCTGTACCTTTCCTGACGACAAGGAACATGCGTCCTTGGCAGATTCTAATTCAGGTGTGAAACCCTTGGAAAAATGCCGCCTTTGCTTAATCACAGGCAGCTGGTTCCACCTCAAAAGCGGCAGCTGTGCAGCCCAATCCGGCTCAAGATGCCGCGAGCGACTCTGAGCAGTGCTCTTCATGCGCATCGTCCAAGTAACACATGAAAGAGCCGTAGATTTCGCGAGAAGGCCCATCTATACATATTGTTGAAACTAGCGTTGAAAAGAAAACCCAGTCGCGCAGAAAACTTGCATTGGTAAAGGCTCCCTTAAACAGGCGGGAAAACCACGGGTACAAGAAATGTAGAAATGTAGATGACCTGATGTGCAGGATGCGACATGAGATGATGCCAACTTCTGTTAGACGGGACAGTCAATCTCAAACGTGTCCAGTGTTGTTGGTTCGACTTGCAGTGGTTGTGTGGTGCCATGACACGTGAGCGAGGCACGAACACTGGCATGCTAGTTTGCATGAGAAACGACATCGAGCCACAGCATGTCAGGGCGTGATGGCACTGTACGACATGGTGCATGCGGTGGTTTGACACGGCATCGGGTACCAACATGGCATGGGTACCAACATGGCATGCGCAACGACAACAACAGCGACGACGACGACGACGACAACACCAACAACTACAACCACAACCAGAAGCTGACGCAGATCAGAACGATGATTTTATTTGACACATTCGAGGCCCGCTCGTTTTCCACGTTCTTGGGGTTTTCGCATCGTGTGGAAACGCGGCGGTGGTTTTGGCTTGACTCGTTGCAGTCCTTGTTGGGGCACAACACACTCCCAATGAGAGTCAATGATAGAAGTCAGCAGCTGATTGAAAAATAACAATAATCTATCTGTGGATCATTTTTACCTTGGGTTGCCCCAATTCTTTTTCCTTTTTTCTTTTCGGACCTTTGGGGTGAGCCGCCCTTTCCGGACCTAAAACATTGTTTGGAAACAGCTGTTTGCGAGTAAGGAATGTAAATGAAAAGGAAAAAGGGTCTGCCCCTGACCAATGTTGCCTGAACCCCTACATTTCAACACTTGAAGCGCGACAAGCACGACAAACTTTGCATTTGATCCAATGTAGCCCCATGTTGTGTGGGTCCATGGCGTGTTTTGTAGAAAATGGCGTTACGTTGAGAAAGCAGCGCCAGTTTATTGTGCAGAAGAACCGTTACATTTGCAACTGTAGCTGGTGGTGATTTGATACAGGTGCATGCAAGGAAGGGGGATCATCATCTTTGCGCTGTTGCGAACAATGACACCACCGTGCCGCCATGGCGCTGCTCGCATCCTCATGCTGCAACGAGCGCGCAAAACAGCCTGGTAACATGGAAGGAGAAAATTCCACCCTTGCGGCTTGAGCGCCACCATGGTTCCACAGAAACCGCAAAAGAACATCCTCATGAAAATGAAGCAGTCTTACTTACCACCAGCAACGACGCTTCGCGCGGAACCACGTGTGCGCAAGCGGTGCCGCTGTGACGCGGGGACACGCGGAGACCACCTGCCAGCGCCGCAAGAAAAAAGTTGCGCTGCCCGTGCATCAGTTTAGGTGACAGCTGTCTGAATGTCATGAAACGTGACTACATTCATTTGCGCGCTTGCAGCTGCGCCGTCAGAACAGCACGCAAACAAACTATCAGATGATACTAGCACGGCCTGCATTCTCATTAATATTCTCTGGCAAGACCGCGGCACCACACACCGGGAAAGGCAATCCCACCGAGGCGTAGTTTGTGCTCTTGTTGTGGACCAGACGAGCTTTAGAAGAAGAACCTGCTTTCGTCACGCAAACCGTTATTGCTGGCTATGGGACTGTAACTGTACCCGTGGGGCATATCCAGCTTTGCTAGCTTGTGGTTTCTTTGCTGAAAGCTCGCATGCATGACACTTGCAAACCTAGAACTTTCAACATGCAGCTATATAGAGACATGAAATTGCAATCGAATAGCTGCATTCAGCTCAAAGGCGCAAATTCCATGAAGATACACTTGTCAGCTCAAAGAAGCGAGCGAACATGGCTCCATACCTGCTTCCCTCGTCCAGACAAGTTTTCAGCCACGGTGACCCATCAAAATGCCCGGTGTCCGGGAGGGAGTATCACCAAACAACGTGCAAATGTCCATGTGGTTGGGGCCTGGTCTGGTTTGCAAAAGTGCCTGTTCTACAAAGAAGATTCGGCTAGGAGCACCTCAAACTCGAGGAGTGTTTTCCAAGAGCTTTGAACATATCGTTGTGTTGCGAGCTTGCACATCCTATTTCTGACGGGCGCCCATGGCGTGCTACGACATGTAAATGAGGCGGCGGCCGCCTTGCTGATGACCGCCTGAGGCTGGCAAGTAGCCACAAATCGATGACGAACCCCCCCGAAGAAAGGAGTCTTCATCAACGATTTTTTGACAATTTTCTGCCTGGTCGGTCAGGTTGTCAAAACATGTCCAGAGATGTCCAAATAACATGGGAACTGTAACCCTTGCGCCTTGGGCTTGCTTTGACGCCCCACCGGTGGATTCCCCCTTTTAAGAGAGACTAAGAATGCAAGGGCTGCGGAAACCCGGAGTTAGGGCATCTAACATAGTGTCTGGATATTCTCATCTCCAACCCGTTGTAGGTATCGTGACGTTTGCGGACATGCCTCAATCATCTCTGGCAGCGGCGCTGTAGGTGCGCTCAAGCCACTTGCCTCGGTGACATGGAACCCAGGAAGCCTTTCGTGGGACCCCCCGAGGAAGATACAACACACAGGGCCAGTCAAGCCCTCCTCAACCACCCGTCCTAGACGCAGGGGTCGACCAAAAAACAACAACAACAACATATTTTACCTCAACCATCCCCCAAAAACCCAAAGGTCCAACAACAAACAAACAACATATTTTACCCCAACCAACCCCCCCCCCCCCCCCAAACCGGGAAAAAAAAACCTCCACCATCCCGCCAAAACCTGGGGGGGTCTTTCTTGACCACTGGCGTGCGCCACGCTGCGGCTGCGCCGCCGTAGCCCTCGCGCAGCAGCTCGAAGTCCATGCCATGGGAGGCGCCCTCGCGCTCGAGCGCACGAACCTGAGCTTGTGGGATACCCAGAGCTTGGTGGGGCCACCCATTGGGTTAAACATGTTTAAACCACTGGTGATGATTCTTCCCTTGAAGCAGGTTTAAACCACTGGTGATGATTCTTCCCTTGAAGCAGGTTTAAACCACTGGTGATGATTCTTCCCTTGAAGCATGTTTAAACCACTGGTGATGATTCTTCCCTTGAAACATGTTTAAACCACTGGTGATGATTCTTCGATTGAAGCATGTTTAAACCACTGGTGATGATTCTCCCCTTGAAACATGTTTAAACCACTGATTCTTCCCTTGAAACATGTTTAAACCACTGGTGATGATTCTTCCCTTGAAGCATGTTTAAACCACTGGTGATGATTCTTCCCTTGAAGCATGTTTAAACCACTGGTGATGATTCTTCCCTTGAAGCATGTTGAAACCACTGGTGATGATTCTTCCCTTGAAGCATGTTCAAACCACTGGTGATGATTCTTCGATTGAAACATGTTTAAACCACTGGTGATGATTCTTCCCTTGAAGCATGTTTAAACCACTGGTGATGATTCTTCCCTTGAAGCAGGTTTAAACCACTGGTGATGATTCTTCCCTTGAAGCATGTTTAAACCACTGGTGATGATTCTTCCCTTGAAGCATGTTTAAACCACTGGTGATGATTCTTCCCTTGAAACATGTTTAAACCACTGGTGATGATTCTTCCCTTGAAGCATGTTTAAACCACTGGTGATGATTCTTCCCTTGAAGCAGGTTTAAACCACTGGTGATGATTCTTCCCTTGAAACATGTTTAAACCACTGGTGATGATTCTTCCCTTGAAGCATGTTTAAACCACTGGTGATGATTCTTCCCTTGAAGCATGTTTAAATCACTGGTGATGATTTTTTTTTGAAGCATGTTTAAACCACTGGTGATGATTCTTCCCTTGAAGCATGTTCAAACCACTGGTGATGATTCTTCCCTTGAAACATGTTTAAACCACTGGTGATGATTCTTCCCTTGAAACATGCTTAAACCACTGGTGGTCATTCTTCCCTTGAAACATGTTTAACCCAGTGGCGATGATTCTTCCCTTGAAGCATGTTCAAACCACTGGTGGTGATTCTTCCCTTGAAGCATGTTTAAACCACTGGTGATGATTCTTCCCTTGAAACATGCTTAAACCACTGGTGATGATTCTTCCCTTGAAGCATGTTTAAACCACTGGTGATGATTCTTCCCTTGAAACATGCTTAAATCACTGGTGGTCATTCTTCCCTTGAAACATGTTTAACCCAGTGGCGATGATTATTCCCTTGAAGCATGTTCAAACCACTGGTGGTGATTCTTCCCTTGAAGCATGTTTAAACCACTGGTGATGATTCTTCCCTTGAAGCATGTTTAAACCACTGGTGATGATTCTTCCCTTGAAGCATGTTTCAACCACTGGTGATGATTCTTCCCTTGAAGCATGTTTAAACCACTGGTGGTGATTCTTCCCTTGAAGCATGTTTAAACCACTGGTGATGATTCTTCCCTTGAAACATGTTTAAGCCACTAGTGATGATTCTTCCCTTGAAACATGTTTCAACCACTGGTGATGATTCTTCCCTTGAAGCATGTTTAAACCACTGGTGGTGATTCTTCCCTTGAAACATGTTTAGACTACTAGTGATGATTCTTTCCTTGAACCATGTTCAAACCACTGGTGGTGATTCTTCCCGTGAAACATGTTTAAACCACTGGTGATGATTCTTCCCTTGAAATATGTTTAAACCACTGGTGATTATTCTTCGCTTGAAACATGTTTAAACTACTGGTGATGATTCTTCCCTTGAAACATGTTTAAACCACTGGTGGTGATTCCTTCCTTGAAACATGCTGAAACCACTGGTGATGATTCTTCCCTTGAAACATGCTTAAACCAGTGGTGATGGTTCTTCCCTTGAAATATGTTTAAACCACGGGTGATGGTTCTTCCCTTGAAACCTGTTTAAACCACTGGTGATGGTTTCTTCTCTTGAAACATGTTTAAACCACTGGTGATGATTCTTCCCTTGAAACATGTTTAAACCACTGGTGATGATTCTTCCCTTGAAACATGCTTAAACCAGTGGTGGTGATTATTCCCTTGAAACATGTTTAAACCACGGGTGATGAGTCTTCCCCTGAAATATGTTTAAACCACGGGTGATGGTTCTTCCCTTGAAACATGTTTAAACCACTGGTGATGATTCTTCCCTTGAAACATGTTTAAACCACTGGTGGTCTTTCTTCCCTTAAAACATGTTTAAACCACCGGTGAAGAGTCTTCCCTTGAAGCAAGTTTAAACCACTGGTGATGATTCTTCCCTTGAAGCATGTTTAAACCACTGGTGATGATTCTTCCCTTGAAGCATGTTTAAACCACTGGTGATGATTCTTCCCTTGAAGCACGTTTAAACCACTGGTGGTGATTCTTCCCTTGAAACATGTTTAAGCCACTGGTGATGATTCTTCCCTTGAAACATGTTTAAACCACTGGTGATGATCCTTCCCTTGAAACATGCTTAAACCACTGGTGATGATTCTTCCCTTGAACCATGTTTAAACCACTGGTGATGATTCTTCCCTTGACACATGTTTTAATTCTTCCCTTGAAACATGTTAAAACCACTGGTGATGAGTCTTCCCTTGCAACATGTTTACACCACCGGTGATGATTCTTCCCTTGAAACATGTTTAAACCCCTGGTGATGATTCTTCCCTTGAAGCAGGTTTAAACCACTGGTGATGATTCTTCCCTTGAAGCATGTTCAAACCACTGGTGATGATTCTTCCCTTGAAGCATGTTTAAACCACTGGTGATGATTCTTCCCTTGAAGCATGTTCAAACCACTGGTGATGATTCTTCCCTTGAAGCATGTTTAAACCACTGGTGATGATTCTTCCCTTGAAGCATGTTCAAACCACTGGTGATGATTCTTCCCTTGAAGCATGTTTAAACCACTGGTGATGATTCTTCCCTTGAAGCATGTTCAAACCACTGGTGATGATTCTTCCCTTGAAGCATGTTTAAACCACTGGTGATGATTCTTCCCTTGAAGCATGTTCAAACCACTGGTGATGATTCTTCCCTTGAAACATGTTTAAACCACTGGTGATGATTCTTCCCTTGAAACATGCTTAAACCACTGGTGGTCATTCTTCCCTTGAAACATGTTTAACCCAGTGGCGATGATTCTTCCCTTGAAGCATGTTCAAACCACTGGTGGTGATTCTTCCCTTGAAGCATGTTTAAACCACTGGTGATGATTCTTCCCTTGAAACATGCTTAAACCACTGGTGATGATTCTTCCCTTGAAACATGTCTAAACCACTGGTGATGATTCTTCCCTTGAAACATGTTAAAACCACTGGTGGTGATTCTTCCCTTGCAACATGTTTACACCACCGGTGATGATTCTTCCCTTGAAACATGTTTAAACCACTGGTGATGATTCTTCCCTTGAAGCATGTTTCAACCACTGGTGATGATTCTTCCCTTGAAGCATGTTTAAACCACTGGTGATGATTCTTCCCTTGAAGCATGTTTCAACCACTGGTGATGATTCTTTCCTTGAAACATGTTCAAACCACTGGTGGTGATTCTTCCCGTGAAACATGTTTAAACCACTGGTGATGATTCTTCCCTTGAAATATGTTTAAACCACTGGTGATTATTCTTCGCTTGGAACATGTTTAAACTACTGGTGATGAGCCTTCCCTTGAAACATGTTTAAACCACTGGTGGTGATTCCTTCCTTGAAACATGCTTAAACCACTGGTGATGATTCTTCCCTTGAAACATGCTTAAACCAGTGGTGATGTTTCTTCCCTTGAAACATGTTTAAACCACTCGTGGTGATTCTTCCCTTGAAATATGTTTAAACCACGGGTGATGGTTCTTCCCTTGAAACCTGTTTAAACCACTGGTGATGGCTTCTTCCCTTGAAACATGTTTAAACCACTGGTGATGATTCTTCCCTTGAAACATGTTTTGAACCACGGGTGATGATTCTTCCCTTGAAACATCTTTAAACCAGTGGTGATGATTATTCCCTTGAAACATGGTTAAACCACGGGTGATGAGTCTTCCCCTGAAATATGTTTAAACCACGGGAGATGGTTCTTCCCTTGAAACATGTTTAAACCACTGGTGATGATTCTTCCCTTGAAACATGTTTAAACCACTGGGGGTCTTTCGTCCCTTAAAACATGTTTAAACCACCGGTGAAGAGTCTTCCCTTGAAACATGTTTAAACCGCAGGTGATGATTATTCCCTTGAAACATGCTTTAAACCGCTGGTGATGATTCTTCCCTGGAAACATGCTTAAACCACTAGTGGTGATTCTTCCCTTGACACATGTTTAAGCCACTGGTGATGATTCTTCCCTTGAAACATGATTAAACCACTGGTGATGATCCTTCCCTTGAAACATGCTTAAACCACTGGTGATGATTCTTCCCTTGAAGCATGTTGAAACCACTGGTGATGATTCTTCCCTTGACACATGTTTTAATTCTTCCCTTGAAACATGTTAAAACCACTGGTGATGAGTCTTCCCTTGCAACATGTTTACACCACCGGTGATGATTCTTCCCTTGAAACATGTTTAAACCACTGGTGATGATTCTTCCCTTGAAGCATGTTTAAACCACTGGTGGTGATTCCTTCCTTGAAACATGCTTAAACCACTGGTGATGATTCTTCCCTTGAAACATGCTTAAACCAGTGGTGATGTTTCTTCCCTTGAAACATGTTTAAACCACTCGTGGTTATTCTTCCCTTGAAATATGTTTAAACCACGGGTGATGGTTCTTCCCTTGAAACCTGTTTAAACCACTGGTGATGGTTTCTTCCCTTGAAACATGTTTAAACCACTGGTGATGATTCTTCCCTTGAAACATGTTTAAACCACTGGTGGTGATTCTTCCCTTGAAACATGTTTAAGCCACTGGTGATGATTCTTCCCTTGAAGCAGTTTAAACCACTGGTGATGATTCTTCCCTTGAAACATGTTTAAACCACTGGTGGTGATTCTTGGCTTGAAGCATGTTTAAACCACTGGTGATGCGTCTTCCCTTGCAGCATGTTTAAACCACTGGTGATGATTCTTCCCTTGAAACATGTTTAAACCACTGGTGATGATTCTTTTCTTGAAACATGTTTAAACCACTGGTGATGATTCTTCCCTTGAAACATGTTTAAAACACTGGTGATGATTCTTCCCTTGAAGCATTTTTAAACCACTGGTGGTGATTCCTTGTCTGAAACATGCTTAAACCACTGGTGATGGTTTCTTCCCTTGAAACATGTTTAAACCACTGGTGATGATTCTTCCCTTGAAACATGTTTAAACCACTGGTGGTGATTCTTCCCTTGAAACATGTTTAAGGCACCGGTGATGATTCTTCCCTTGAAGCAGTTTCAACCACTGGTGATGATTCTTCCCTGGAAACATGTTTAAGCCACTGGTGATGATTCTTCCCTTGCAACACGTTTAAACCACCGGTGATGATTCTTCCCTTGAAACATGTTTAAGCCACTGGTGATGATTCTTCCCTTGAAGCATGTTTAAACCACCGGTGATGATTCTTCCGTTGAAACATGTTTAAACCACCGGTCGTGATTCTTCCCTTGAAACATGTTTAACCCACCGGTGGTCATTCTTCCCTTGAAACATGTTTAAACCACTGGTGATGATTCTTCCCTTGAAACATGCTTAAACCAGTGGTGATGATTCTTTCCTTGAAACATGTTTAAACCACTCGTGGTGATTCTTCCCTTGAAACATGTCTAGACCACTGGTGATGATTCTTCCCTTGAAACATGTTTAAACCACTGGTGATGATTCTTCCCTTGAACCATGTTTAAACCACTGGTGATGATTCTTCCCTTGAAACATGTTTAAACCACTGGTGATGATTCTTCCCTTGATACATGTTTAAACCACCGGTGGTGATTCTTCCCTTGAAAACATGTTGAACCCACCGGTGGTCATTCTTCCCTTGAAACATGTTTAAACCACTGGTGATGATTCTTCCCTTGCAACATGTTTAAACCACCGGTGATAATCTTCCCTTGAAACATGTTTAAGCCACCGGTGATGATTCTTCCCTTGAAGCATGTTTAAACCACTGGTGATGATTCTTCCCTTGAAACATGTTTAAACCACCGGTGATGATTCTTCCCTTGAAGCATGTTTAAACCACTGGTGATGATTCTTCCCTTGAAACATGTTTAAACCACCGGTGATGATTCTTCCCTTGAACATGCTTAAACCACTGGTGATGGTTCTTCCCTTGAAACATGTTTAAACCATTGGTGATGATTCTTCCCTTGACACATGTTTAAGCCACTGGTGATGATTCTTCCCTTGCAACACGTTTAAACCACCGGTGATGATTCTTCCCTTGAAACATGTTTAAGCCACTGGTGATGATTCTTCCCTTGAAACATGTTTAAACCACCGGTGATGATTCTTCCGTTGAAACATGTTTAAGCCACTGGTGATGATTCTTCCCTTGAACTATGTTTAAACCACTGGTGATGGTTCTTTGCTTGAAACATGTCTAAGCCACTGGTGATGATTCTTCCCTTGAAACATGTTTAAACCACTCGTGATGATTCTTTCCTTGATACATGTTTAAACCACTGGTGATGATTCTTCACTTGTAAAGCTGGTGTTTACACCGTTTTTGCCCCACACAGGAAAACCAACACCTTCCAGGCGAAAAACGCCAGAGGTAGGGTTGACGTTGCAAGGGGAACAACATTTTAGATTTTAGCAGTGGGGTGGGGGTTTCCCACTAAACCACAAGATGTTTACCCCCCCAAAAAAAAATGTAGGTAACCAGGGGAGGCCTTACGCAAAATCTAGAGGTAAAAGTACACCGATACTACTATATGTAGCTGGAGGCCCTGGGGTAGCTAAACCTTGCTTTTTTTTGCAGGCCCTACTAAAATGAACAGAACAGAAACTGGAATCTAACCACATGCCAACAACAGTGACGAGAACCAGGGGGGCTTGAAACTTGGGGTTCCCATTGCCAAGTTAGATTGTGCCGCAAGAATCATCTAAACCATTCTAAGCCCTTCAAGGACACACATCACACCTTGAAAACCCGTGAATTTGGCTCCCGGCAATGGCGTACTTCCCGTTGCTGATGGCAACCAGTGCAGGGATAGCATCGATTGATTTCTGGAACCTTGGCACTCGATGTCAGCAATATGTCAATCAAGTTCCCCGCTTCCATATCAACCATGCGGTATACGCACTGGCTACAAACCTCATGCTAGAACTCCTTTAGAGGTAATACTAATCTGTTTCTACTACAATTGCACGTCTCGTGATTCGGGGCAGGGGTCAAAGTCCATCAAATCCTTTCGTTCAGCCTTGAAACATCGGCGGTGGCACGAGGGATGCATCAACGATTACTCAAACTCATGTAGCGCAAAGCAGTGCCGCTGCCGCAAACTGCTCGCTCTAACTCTGCGAGGGAGCTACCGGCATCATGTGACTGGTTGTCACAAACATCTCCTGCCCCATCTGCCGAATGTTTCGCAACGCTTTGCTTGCTTCTTCGTTGTTTGCAGTTCACTTGATGTTCTTGTCTTTTCTGCTTTTTTCCTTTTTTCTCCTTGTGCACTAGGTCAGTAGGTGGCCTCACATGTCGGGATCTTGTGCTCTGATTTGCAGACTGCCGTTCCCCGATGATTCTGTCATGTTCCCTTTGCAGCTTCCTCTGAAAGAGGTCTCTGTGGCCTGGGGCAGGTTGCCGGACATGTCCCGAGCATCACTCCACTGAAAGCTTTCGCTCCTCTCGCCCCGAATTGGTCCAGTGATGTTAAACCTGGTATGTGCAAAGGTTCTGAGAACCCTTTAGGATTTTAAGGCGCGCTGATGCTTTTCCTTAGTGAAAGGCAATGAAAAGGGAGTCATAATGAATCAAAACCTGGTAATTATTAACATGATACACCAAAACCCACGTAAGAAATACAAAGGCGGAACCTATTTCTGGTTGGGACCGTCCCCAACCTTCCCTTACTCGCGGTGGTTGCCTCGCCCCTGCCCTGAGTGTCCGGCTCCGAAGGCTGGTACCGCTTCCCAGTTTGCTGCTCCCGCTTTCGCCTGAGGCGGTGGCCTTCACAGCCTAAGCCTCAAGCTCAGTGCTGAAAGTTGAAACTTGTGGGTAGAAATGGAAATGGACACCCCTCCACTAAACCAACTAAAACCAAAAAAAAAAAACAGCTAAGGGGATGGCTGGGAATGGGCCAAGTGCAAAAGTGCTCGCCTTGGGCTGCTTTGGGGGATGTGGCTCGCTCGCTGCCGCCCAAATCGGCGCCGAACGATTCAGCATCATAGCCGAGCGGCCCCCTCCTTTGGCATTCAGCCAGCGGCGCAACAACTGCAAGGACGTGAACTGTATAACCGCCTCAGCCCAGGTCGTTGCTCCAATATGCGCCACTTGGCGTCTCAAACCGCCTGGTCGGTTTTGCGGTGGCCTTCCAAAAGCAAATTACAAAAAGGGGGATGCCCCTGTCTTGAGCTACATCCGCTTGTTGAATGCCCTTTCAGCCAGGCACTTTTCATCATGTCCTCCATCTCTGACATTGCCTCCGGCATGCTGGAAGCATGCTGGGCAAGCTGTGCGGCATGTGGCCGACCCGCTCTCCCTGCCTTAGGCAACTTGAGGGCAGTCTGAGGGATAATCAAGTTCTTCCGGCGCCGCACCTCAGCAATTTCTCAAGTGCACGTGCTACATTGGCATACTAACTTCTAAGTGCCTGGCTGCCTCGAGACACATCCCGTCCTACGCACAGTCTTTACAGAAAACACAGTGCATTCCATGAACAAACAATTACTAGGCCCTCCAGTAGAGAGGTTAGAATAAGGGTTCTATTTTAGTAGGGGAACCGTCTCCCAAAAAAGGGTAAAAGGGCACTACTGGGGGACCTAGATTAGCATCCTTCTCTTTGTTGATGACGGCTTTCAGCGCCTCGGAGGCGCTGAGGAAACAAGGCAAGCTCAACTGCTCGCGGCATCTTAGCATACTTGGCAGCCGGCTGGGTAGGCTGAGCGCCAATCATCGGTTTGGACCCACTCTTTCCATAGCCCGTGGGCGTCCCGCATGAACCTCGGCACCGCCAATGATTTTCAGAATGACAGCTTTGGCTACTGCTCATTTACGGCTCAATTGAGCAAGAGCCACTCGCCGTCGATGGTGACAGCATCGAGTTGGCGCCTAACAGCAAGTCGCTTCTGCTTCTCAAAACGGCAACGCGGTGTCTCAAAATGGGGGCCACCCTGAATGTGATACGGACACGCGCCAGCTAAACCCACAGCATTTGAGAGCGCCCCCCCCCCTTGTAAGACAAGTCTGCCTCCGATCATCGGATGTGGGGCAGCCTGGCAAGAAAGCAACTCACACCGCAACCTTGGGCATTGGCAGTCTGCGTTTCTTTGCCCCCGGCGGGGGATGCTGTACATGGGGGCCGCATCTACCTCATCTCTCACGCTTGACCAACCATGGGGCATCCAGCACTAAGAGTGATGCCGTTATGGTGGACTTGCCCACTGAGGACGGGCCGAGGATCCACAGAGCTAGAGGCTGCGCCTTCGAACATGCAGCGAAGTGAGCCAAAAGAACCGCTGAGCCGAGGGTTTGCCTGCTCCGTGGCATCGAAAAAGTTGGCATTCTGCCTCAGAGCCGATGCTTTTGCTGATGTAAGATGGGTTCCACTACCCCAAAAAACCACTACCCCCAGACAAAGACGTGGGAAAACAACTCTTGTCAGCATAGTGGCCGTATATCCAAATCAAGACCCCTGGGCTAGCTTCGGTGTGGGGGGGTAGCGGAAACCATCTTAGATTGGGAAAACAAATTAGTGGGGATACCGGGGAAGCGGGGATGTGCGAGGATTCCCTGCAAAGAAAACCATGTCTAAGTATTGCCCGACAAATATGTCCATATCCCTGCTTCCCCGATATCCCTGCTTGTTTGTTTGTCTGATTAGAGGCGATCGATCCCCGGTGTTCTTCGCTCTGAAGCCGCTCAGATTCCAGCCAAGCTTGCCTCCGCTCTTCGTCGCTCAATGGGCGAGACCTCAAACGATCGCTTGTGGCAAAACGGCGAAAGAACTGGCCCTCAGACTGCAGCATTTTTCGTGGCCCAGCGGACACCATTTCGCAAGGGTGAAACACTTGCATCTTGTGGCGACTTCTGGCACTTTTGGCCCTAATATCCCTGACTTATTTTTTTCAAGACAACAAGCTCAGGCCATGCTGAGATGTACCTTGGAACAGCGACCATTCAACAAGCATAACTTGCTCAGGGGCAAAATCCTCTATCGTGGCCCGCGCGCTTTAGCACAGTCCCGCAGTGATACTCATCCCTAAGGGTCCAAGTACCATGTAAGGATGTACTTTGAGTACTTTGGCCCCTTTTTGGCCACTTCAGTTCATCCTGACCGGTACTTGCACCCTCTGGATGTTGTATGATACATTTTAATTTGTGAGCCTCATGTCCAGCCGGGGGAGTAGCCGGGGGAGTAGCCGGGCGAATAGCCAGGTGAATAGCTGGGTGCTGGCTGCCCAAACTGAGCCTGACACAGGCAAGGGTTCACAACGGGACATCCAACCCTTCGCTGGGCGCTAGTTACTTTCACTCGTTAATCACTAGCCTTACTAGTACCAAACCTCCATCCCGAAGGGACATCAATCCCGAAACCGCCTGTTTGACCTTTCTCAGTGGAATTACTCGCTAATGAAAAGACTTTCCTCTGTCTGACTTATGGGGTCCACTAGTCGGACTCATGGGGCCCATTCTTGACTTGGCTTCTTTCTGAGCCATGTGTGGCTCATACGGATTGGATTTGCGGGGGGTTTACTTCATGGTCAAAGCAATGTCCCTATCCAACACTAGTTCATCCTTAGTAACGGGAGCCATGAGAATTGCATGGCCCGTAATGGCCCATGATAAGCGCTACTCACGATTTGGCTGCAATGGCTCCGCTTGTGTCTGCATGACCATGCCTCCACGAGGATACCGGAATCACTTTTAGAGGGGTTTCTGCAGCTACATGGTTCCAATCAGGCAGTGTAAGAACGACCACCCCAGCAGCACACTTGAATGGTAAAAAGCACTGGTGCAAATGGTTTTCACACACACACTGCCAAGCACATCAGCTCCCCTCTAGTGTGGTTGGGATTGGGTGTTTGGCGGCGTGGTTTCTCATTTAGGGCTTCGATTCCCGATCCAAACTGCCAAGTAGCTATACCCAAGCATGGGGCTCCATTGGAACTAACCATTGACCACCAATCCAAACTGCCAAGTGGACTTGAACTCCATTTTTGGACCGAAACAAAGGGTCCCGTTGAAATCCCAAAATGGAACCCTTGGCTTCCAAAAGTTGGATTGGCGTAATTACAGCACCAGTGAGCAACTAGGTGTGGCGTCCTCTACGTTTTACTTTCTGGTTTCCCCTTGTTGCTTGTAGTGGCGAAACACTTGAAAGCACTGGGCTACACAAGAACCAGGGGTTCAAATCCCATGACTTAAGGGATGGACCCCCCGAATACCAATCCAGACCACCAAATTGTAGAGAAGGTCAAGGGTTGATTCCCCATTCTTTTCAACCATCGTTCTTTCAAAAAGCGGCTGTTTTCCCTGGGTTTCCGGCAGTTTTCTAGAAAGAAGGATCCCTGGAAAGAATGGGGAAGGTACCCCTGAAGAAGGTGCCTGGATCTGGGGTCATGAAAAACCCGCCTGGGAGTTGGCCTGCAGCTGGGTCAACTCCTGGAAGCGTGCCGCTTCCTCAAGGCGATCGAATAAACATGCCCACTGTTGGGCACAACTAAGAAAGCAATGACACAAAACACACAAATACATGAACAACTAGACTTAAAAATACATACACCAACCGAGAACTAACAAACACATGAATGAATGAACTAAATGAAATGGATGAAGTAGTAAATGCATGCATGCATGCATGGCATGGCATGGCATGGCATGGCATGGCATGGCATGGCACGGCACGGCACGGCACGGCATGGCATGGCATGGCATGGCATGCATGAATGGAAGGAAGGAAGGAAGGAAGGAAGGAAGGAAGGAAGGAAGGAAGGAATCAATGCATGGATGGAAGGACGTAAATAAGGAAATAAGGAATGAAATAATATAGCATAAAAACAAACAACTCACATCAATAACAAATGAAACAATATTCATGCTGCAAGGTCTTTTGTTAAACTGCCTGAGTTATCGAGATTGCATTTTGCCGCCAGGGCCAACATGTTCATTGACATTCAAAGACAGGAGGCTTGCAAAGGAACAGGGTTGGACGCTTACCTGTCAGGGTTTGTTCGTGCTCTGGACACACTTGGTCCATTTGCGGTATTCGAATTCCCTGAGAAGCGACCGACAATGTTCAATGATTCAATGGTTTCATGCGCTAGGGATTGTAATGCAACACTCAGACACTATAGAAAACATACAACGAACAAGTACACACACACACACATATATATATATATACACTCATAAATAGATATACAAAACATATGTAACTGCAAAAGTATACATGCATAACTGAACAACAAATTCAAACATTTGTTTGACACACACACACACAATATATATAGCTATACTCATCAATAACAACCTTATATAAGCACGCAAATAAACATGCATATGGAAACCCAAATGGAAACCCCACCCGAAAAAGAAGTGCTCTCAAGAAAGGCGCTGCCGCAAATGGTGCCTCTTTGGCTTCCCTTTTGAAACAACCCAAAGGGTATTAGGATGGTTGGGCCATTTTTCCTCTTGGAGGGGGGGGTTTGGGTGCTCTTCTCACCTTGGTTTAAAGGGACCGAAATGAACACCACTGTTTGAGTGCCCCTATATCTTGACCCAGCTACACGCAATGCCCAGCGTCGTACTGCTGCAGCCACGAACGCAGCTGCTGCAGGTAGTCGTTGTCTGGACCTACAGCCGCCTGTTGAACCTGTTGTGTGCCCAAAGGCTCGTAGGCATAGCGGCCAGAAGCAGGTGGAAAAGACCTGGTGCCGGGGACTGCTCTGATTTTTCAGAAGGATCCAGAAAGGTGGTCCTTTCCCCCAAATGCGCTTCCTCTAGAGCTCGTCTGCAGCACCATCCCCGTCAACCTCGAAGCTCTGCTGTAAAGTTGGTCTTGGGGGTTCCACGTTGAACCGCAGGAAACTCTCAAGAGCCATTTCAACACTTAGCCCCCGCCAAGCGGCGGAGTTTGGTAGTAGTTTCCCAGCTGCGGCCGGGCCATGCTGAAGGAACCTGCGTGGTAGATCTTAATGTGGAGGGTTGGGTTCTCAAAATCGTCGGGACCTCGCGTTGTGCCGCCTTTTTGATTACAGGCGGTCCAACAGTGGGCTCACTTTGACAACCCCCCTCTCCCCAAGCGGCTGCTGCTTAGAATAGGGGTCCCTTTGTGGCTTCCCTTCATTGCCAACCAGGGGTCCGTCCACCACTTTGATGCGTGCGGTTGCCCGGGGTTATCCCGAAATGAAAAGCGCGGGGCCCGGCCAGCAAAGGATGGCGCCAGCGAGTCAACCGCCGCTCCAACCAAGGGCTGCATCTCATCAGCGGAGCCCCCGCCCTCGTTGCCGGAAGCGCCAAGCTTCGCCGCGCGCTTCCCCTTTAGCTTCTTCTTTGATTTCGACCTGGATGCATCCTTTGGAGGGACCCCAAAGCGGCGAAGGTTCACTCACAACCTGCAGTTGGTTCAATCCCCATTTCAAGACCCGCCTCCACACGATGCAAATCAGCACGGCGATGCCTGCCAAGATTACTGCGGCCAGGATCCAGTAGATTGTCGGAAGACTTGTGGTCTGCTCTGTGCCCTGCGCGGCCAGAATGTCATTTTCTCTCCATTGCACCGCTCCAGCCACATTCTTCTTGACAGTTTTGGCGACCGCCGAATAGCACGTGTACCCAGGCAATGGCGACGTCCACTGAATGGGAGTAGTCCAAACCTCGCTTGACTGCTTTGCCAGGTGAAAACTCTGTCGTGCCGTGGGCATGGCTTTTTAGGACCCCATGGCGGTCTACAATCCCTGTCTTATGACCACGCAGAGCAACAGACTTAAGGAGGCGCGGCAACTTGGCAAGTGGTCAGCAACTCTGGATTAACTCGGGTTAACCCACTTAGGGGACTCGTAGAAGGGGTAAATTGGTTGTCACCAACATTGCGAACCATCACGAAGTAGCCGATCGCCTCCTTAAGTACAAAAGCTCAGATTTCGGCTTCGCAGTAGGCATGCTGCACCGAATGTTCAACGCCAGTGCAGTCCTGGCGGTCAGCCAACATCCCGGACGAAGTGCCCACGTGCCCTTTAAGCACGCGCCAAAGCTTTAAGGGCATGTCCTGCTTCCAGCTGCATATGTCGAAGCATTCTTCCAACGTGGCCGCAGTCCAAGTTGAATAGTAGTTTCCTGGGCCATGGGAAAAAATGCGTAGAAACACAGAAGCACCACAAGCCATGCTTGGCACAAGCTTCAAAGGGGGCGACATGGCCATGCTATGCGAGTTCTGCAGTCTGCCAAGGGCTTTCGGCCAAGTTGCGAGCAGATGGATTTGGATTGCCTCAAGCAATCCAGCGATGCATACCGCGAAATCCACAAGATGTCATGGCTACCTCACCTACGACACGGAAATTGTGAAGGGCCATTGAAAGCATGTGGGTGGTCATGGTGCCCTTTCATAGGAACCTTTACATTGGTTGTCTCAAACCTCTTGAAGGGGGAGCTGGTCTTCGCACTTCGGCACACATGGAGATCATGAGTCTGGCAAGGTGCTGGCATCATTCACGGTCTTGGCACGGCAAGCGTGGCCGCCTAGGTGGTTGCGACAAAAGCGCCAACCATACTTTTTGTAGCACCTATGCTTTGCTGGAAAACCTTCAGATGCGCTCGTGGATGTTGGCTGTTCTTCAAATTTTGGCCTGGTTATAGCACTCTGTTTGTATACGTTTCAGTCCCACCCCTGCATCCAAGCTGTTTAGTGCAAAACTATCCGGCCTTCTTTCTCCTCCTTGCCCTCCCCCACGTTCCACATTGGCCTCAGGTTC